TTTTCCCTCTCGTCTCGCCCCTGTGATTCTGTCTGCCGATCGGTGACCTACGCTAGCCCTAGGACTATTCTTGTGTTTTGCCCGCCATATACCTGTTTGCCATTGTTTGACCCTGCCTGTTTACCACGTCTCTCTAATAAAAGCTTGCAGATGGATCCACACGTCTCACATCTTGTCAACCCCGTTACAGGGATAGAAGTTATTGGATGAAGATGAGAATCAATGGGATCGTTAAATGTTGCAAGCCAGATTCGAACTGATATACACAGGCGATTCTAGGATTTTCATTTTAGAGGGGCTCAGCCCCAAATGAGGGTATAATAATAAACAAACAATAATAATACATATATAAATAAAACAAAAAATGTTTGACTAACAGGGGTGGTATAAACTTATTGCAGTATTCCACTGTATTGCATAGATAGGTATAACATTTGAGTACTGAATAAGCCAAATACAAGTCTTCCTGATCTCTCACACACACAACCTGTTTACTGTACAAACACTTAAAATTTCTAGTACAACCCTCTTTCTTTAGCTCAAGTATGCAAACCTCTTTGCCACATGCACTAGAATATGTTTCATATGGAAAGTAAAATTTTCAAATGAAAATGGCAACATGATAATTTTATAAAGTATGGGTTCATATGTGCTTCATTTTCATTGGAGGAAACAGCTGTGCTGTGATGAGGGGTGAACGCAGTGTCTTCCTGATCTCTCACACACACAACCTGTTTACTGTACAAACACTTAAAATTTCTAGTACAACCCTCTTTCTTTAGCTCAAGTATGCAAACCTCTTTGCCACATGCACTAGAATATGTTTCATATGGAAAGTAAAATTTTCAAATGAAAATGGCAACATGATCATTTTATAAAGTATGGGTTCATATGTGCTTCATTTTCATTGGAGGAAACGGCTGTGCTGTGATGAGGGGTGAACGCAGTGAAAACTTTACAGGAGATGGAAAACCGATTGCTCCCTCGTGATATTTAGCAAACTGTATTTATGACAAAGAACTGCACAGATGCAGATATTATAACAATCTATCGATAAACACACACCTTGTCCTCTGTTTCTTGCTCTGCGCCGCTGCGGTCTGCGGATTGAAAAAGAACGCGCTGATAGACGGGGAGGAGCCAATCGAAGTCTGCCACCGTTTTCATATGAAATTTAAAGGGGACTGTGGCGATCACAAATTCATTTAAAGTTTATGGAGCTAATCGCAAAATTTTTAGGGGGGCTGAGTAGTCATTTTAGCTATAGCCCCCCCTAAAAATGGCTTAGCGACGCCCATGCTGATATACACATGCGTGAACCATTAGGCCATTGCCTAGTAGCCTTAAGTATCAAATGGAGTGTCTAAAAAGATAATGCATTTAATACGGTTACATTGTTGTTTTCCTGGTTCTTAACGAAAGAGGAAGTTGGTGTTGGATGCATTATGGTGCTTGTTTTTAAATAAAGCTGCAGTCCGTAAGTTTTGAGTCCATAATAATACTAATAAATGTTTTTTGAGCAGCAAATCAGAATATTAGAATGATATTAGAATGATTTTGGATAATTTTTAACCAAAGAAAAAGTTAGAGAATGCAGCTTAAAATAGGCTTTATTTTAAATCACAAATACGAAATGCTAGGTTTTTATTGTTAACACTATAACAACGTCTACGATCTCCCTACAATAACTTCAGTGATCTCCAGGAGCTCTGTGGACACCGGGTCGGACACCTTGGTGCTAAGTTTCATTTGTGAACATTTAGGGGGTCCCACTTTTTCTTAAGTGGCCTTAACTGCTATGTACTTACGTCAAAAAATAAGTACAATGTACTTATTGTGTTCATATAATATTGCAAAACACTTTTATTGCTTTTGAGGTGGGATACTGGTAAGGTTAGGGACAGGTTTGGTGGTATGGGTAAGTTTAAGTGTGGGTTAAACTGTAAGGGATTGGTCAACAGTGTAGCTATAAATGTAATTACAGAAATTAATTACAGATTAATTTCATGCAGGTATTTAAAAAATATATAATTACAATGTAAAAACATGTATGTACACAATAAGTGCATTGTATCAAACGATTCATTTAAAATGTAGGTACAATGTAGTTAAGGCCACCTAATATAAAGTGGGACCCATTTAGGAGTACACTAGCATAGCAAAGCTAACTGCTAAAACCTGGAACACACTAAGCCGACTTCAAAGAACTAGCGGCAACAAAAGTCGATTGCCTAACATTGGCTGCGTCTGACTTGAACACACCGTTCAGACTACAGCCGACTGCATACTAAACACATCCTTGCTAAAAAAACTATAGAAACCATCACAGAAATTCTAATAGTTTCCACTACAAATACCATTAAAAACATTACAAACCATCAACTTTTAACCATTAAAACCATTAAAAAATGGTTTCCTGTAGTGTGTTTTGGGACATTACAATTTGGTAGTTTTAACAAGCCACCAATAGAAAGCAACCAGTAAAGACCCACAGGGTCCATTACAGTTTCCATTAAAGTCAATACTATTCCCATTATAACCAGTAAAACAATTACAAATTATGTGATGCTTTCTATTGTGTTTGTTCAGCAGAGTTCTGTTCTGCGCCTGTGTGAGAGGAATTAAATCAGAAGCTATTCGTAGCACTTGCTTACTATTTTAAATATCTTTCATGCTGATAACTAAGTTCTTGATAACTAATTTTAAGTGGCTCATGTTGTTATGAAAATATTCGTGAATTGGAATGCTCGGGTAAGATAGCGTAACATTAGACCAGCCTTCTTGACTTGTTCTCTTTCATCACCTTTGCTTTAATTCTTGTACGCTGACTCCTATGCTAAACTGAACATCCAGTCAGAGTTCCTGCTCTCGCCGACGGCCCCCATGCTGATCCACATGCTAAATTGGGGGCAAACTGTGAGCCAGAGGAGAGCCGACGGGAGGAACACACCAAAACTAGCCCAACGAACGCCTTGGTGCCTTAACAGACATGCACAAAGTTTGGATTTCCTGGTGCCTTTAATACAAGAGCTTTAATATTCTGACCTCTAAGTAATGATATAGTGTTTATGTTTCCTCTCGAGGCCGTTTTCATTGGAGAACACCCAGACAAGTTACAATGCAATTTGCGTTTAACTGTTGGAGGTAATTAGCACCCTAAAAAAATTAAATAACATTGACGGTGAGGATCAATAAGCTTGATCCATTGTGAAATTAATCCTGCTATCGACAAAACACGGAAACCATACAATTAAGAGAGTGGGAACAGAAACAAAGAGATCTAGACGTGGGCCAGGCCCAGCAATGAGAAATAGGATGCTTTTTATCTCGCTGGTTCACTGTGCAGAAATCCTATGAAAGCTTTAATTAATCCATGCATTATTAATGAAGACTGCAGGGAGAAGTTTAGGATTATGCACAAAGAGAAAGGAAAACACAATTAGTGATATCAGCCTAATGATTGTTACATGTCACTGACCACAGTGTATTTATTGTCAATCTGAACTGGCCTAAAACGGGCTTGTTTTTGTTTATGTTTGTTTGTGTTGGGGTGTATGGAGTGTGTGTTAGCGCAGATATGTGTCTTTTTAGCTATTTTACCTTGTTTAGATTACTTAGTCTGATGGTTAAAGTTCGGTTTGAATAAGTTTAAAAGTAAATGGATAAATATAAAAGCATTTTCAATGTGTGAAAAGGCTGTTTATATAAATATTTTTGGTAACACTTTAGTTTATGATATGTTCAAATGAAATCTATGTGACACCATTGATGAGATCAGCCATAGCCTGTATGTGGTCTGCTGTAAAACAGGGAATTGTGGGTAATATTTTAGTCCACTGTCCTCGGTTCGCTGGCCGTCCAGTGGGCTAAAGGGAGCGTAGTGACTGAAAGAGGAGAAGGCGAAAGAAGAGGAAGAAGGATTGCCTTTCAAGAGTTATGAGCCATTAAATCACGGCCAGGAAATCTCAAGGTTCCTCAAGAGTGCTGCACAAGGAATCTTTGGCCCCAAGAAATATTGTTTATGGTTTAAAAGCCTCGCCGATGGATTTATAAAAGAAACATTCATCATGACAGAAAAATGGAAGAAAACATTCCTGAAATAAATACTCACTCTATAGGTATACTTGTCACCTGGACAGCACAATAACAAGTGAATTGGAAGGAAGATCCTTCATCAGTTGGCAACTGGCCTCAATGGCTCTGAGTGGAGCTCCAGCGAAAGGGAATCAGAGGTGCATCTGGAAACCCATAAACCACACAGAGCCGAGCAAATCAGATGCCCCATCAGTTTCACCCCACCATAATTTTGAGGGTAAAACATCAGTTTAGAAACTGATTTTATCCCACGTAATATGAACCTCTTAAATCAGTCAGGGAAAATCCTTCCAGGCAGGGATTTGTCACCAGTGCACCATATTGAAGACGTTTTTGCGTTTTTATAAGCAGTACATACAGGTTATAGTCCTGTGAGGCCTCTGGGTGCACATCTTTGTGAGACCCCTGAACCTGGCGCTTCTCAAACCTGTCATTGAGGAATCCCACCACTGCGCAGTTTGTATGTCTTTCTTATCAGACACATCCAATTCAAGTTATGCATAGACTCCATTCATAAACAACCAGAGTGCCGACTGTGAACACGGGAAATCTGGCAAAATCTCTTGCGGTCAAACATGACATTAGAGTAAACAAATGGCTGAAACAAACAGTTTGGAAGAAGTCGTGAAGACGGCATGAAAGTGGACTTTACACGTTACAGTGCAAGCTTGAGGTGAGAAATGGTCCCATCTTCCAACTCGCTTTCTGATTGGAAATGGCTTCATTCCACATGACAATCTACAGCAAGGGTGTCTAAATTCATTCCTGGAGGGCTACTGTCCTGAAGAGTTTAGCTCCAACTTGCCTCAACACACCTGCGTGGAAGTTTCTAATATGCCTAGTGAGACCTTGATTAGTTGGTTCAGGTGTGTTTAATTGGGGTTGGAGCTAAAGTCTACAGGACAGTGGCCCTCCAGGAGCAGGACTGGACACCCCTATCCCTGATCTATAGAGTGTGTACACCTTTGTCCTCGGGGTTCCCCCCACACAACAGGATTTCTGATCATAAATATTCAACATGTTGGATATTTACAATTTGAGATCGGTGCGGCCCCAACGTTCTTCCGGGCAGATTCAATCGCTCTTAACACACCCCACACCACATGTAAATCTGATAAGACAATCTGTATAACCAGCAAGATAAAGTCCTTACCTAGGATTGTCAGAAGGGGAGAATTCCGCCCAAAATTGGTCATACTATCTTGTAGTGTGTGTCCCGTTTCAGATGAGGGAGATTTCTAAAATATGCCGTGGTGGGGTGGTCCCAGGACAGGTCTGAGAAGCAATGCTTCAGGACAGGATTGAGAAGTGCCTAATCCTACGTAAAAAACCCCCCAAAAAACAGAAACATGACTTTAGGTAGCCTACAGGAGTGTTTTCAACCCTGTTTTTGGAGTATGCCAAGTAGTACACATTTTGGATGTCTCTCTTATCTGACACACCCATTTCTCGTCTAGTAGTGTCTACTAACAAGCCGATGAGTTGAATCAGGTGTGTTTGTGTGGGAAGAGTTTGAAAATGTGTACTGTTGGTGTGCCTCCAAGAACAGGATTGGGAAACAGTGGACTAACATATGATTTGAATCATATGTCATTTGAAGGTTGTGCCCCTCAGAAGTCATGATTTGTTTATGTCTAAAATTTAGTTTATGTCTAAAATTTTAGAAAAAGTTGTGTCTGCTCAATTGTGCTCCTTCCTGCTATCTCTATGAAGAATTTCGACTTTTGGTAGTACCTAGGATAGCAAAGTCCACTAAAGGAGGTAGAGCTTTTTCGCATTTGGCTCTCAAACATTTGAATAGCCTTCCTGATAACGTTTGGGGTTCAGACACACTCAGTCTGTTTAAATCTATATTAAAGACTCATCTCTTTGGCCAAGCATTCACATAATGCATCTCATAATCTTGTACTGCAGTTATATCTGATCAAATGCGCATTATTGTTCTTTAGCTTGGGTTAAACAAATTAATTTTACTTGGTTGGAACAGCAGCTATGCTAATTATGTCAATAAACTTGAATTGAATTTAACTGAATTTGTCGGTCACAAAGGTCATCGAGGACGTCACATTTCAGAAAATTAACCATTGTAAAATTGACTGTTGTTCCTTGTGAGGTGTAATCTCTTGTAGTTTCTTTCTTTGGAATGTAATGGTTACTTTTCTGAAATGAGGCAGCCTCTTTGACATATACGGCCAACAGCTATGTCCTCTAGAGATGAGACACATGATGACTCATGTTGATTCAGTCTCGGGCCACACAGCCTGAGGTTCTGCAGAACTCTGGCAGTCAGAAGCCTTGACCTGGAGCATAATCAAGCCCTGATTACTTTATAATCCATATATATAAATCACAAATTATAACAGGAATTCCTAAGATATTCATTCTGAACACTGGATTTAGTACATAGTATTTGTTTGAAATGTAAAGGATTATCAGTTATGAGATAATCATTGTTTTCCGCACACACCTACTGTATGGCTATACAAGACAAGTTCCAGGACTACTTCTGTTTTACTCTTAATGCTGTGACACACCAAGTCGATGGTCAGCTGCTAGCCAATGTTTTTTTTGCTTTGAAAATCAAATTATTTCTGAAAGTAATTTTCAGATGCAACGGAAAAAAATGGGATAAACACAAACACAAAACTTGTAAATAAAACAATATGTTATATATGTACAATTTAATAACATATAGCCTAGTTTGATATATGAATTGGGTGTTCGTCAACGATTGCATGCGGTCGGAGATTCCCGTGTTTACAGCTCTGTAAAATAACCTTCCGGAAGCTCTGTAGTTTTTCTGTATGGGCCTATAGCTAAAAATATAAAAATTACAAACACACAATAACATTTTAAGTTACTTCCATTTCTGAAAAAAAAAGAATGTAGGCCTAGTAA